AACAACTCATGTTCAAGGCAAAAAAAGAAATGAAGTAGGTCTCTATCAACACTTTCACATTCATTTTTATCCAGAACAGTTAACTGAGTTTAGCCTTAACCAAGCATAAAATCTAAGTGTGCAGAAATATCTTCTAATCTTCTAATAAGTGTGCAGCTACTCATGCAAACCTGGTGTAGGGTACTTGAAATGATTATCCTATTAGTTTAAAGTGGGCCTTATAGGAATCCACATGCTACTTTTTTTCCTGCTCCCTGAGGCAATTAATTCTAAGGTACATCTAATGCATGCAATCCAGATGTACATTGATTTCTGACTAGGTTGCTTATTGTTAAATTCATTTTATTTAATTAATTTAATTCTATGATCAAAATAAATGTGTTTGTGTCAGTGTAGTCCTTTGTTCTTACATATGTAATACATATTGATAAAACATAAATTAATATCACGATCACGATCACGACCATCCTGTTGTTCATCGATTGCCTCGAGCAGGCCCCAGTAATGTCTCCTTCGTCCTAGCCCTGAGATTTTTTAAAATGTGCCATATTCAAGGCTCTTTCAAGGTTAGGAGAATGAGACCCATCATTGTTACTGATATTTGGCATATTGGGTATGCCACGGGGAGTTTGCCAGACTCTGCCATGTGGGCAGGTTATATTCGGTAGCCTGCCAGTTTGTCCAAAGTAAAGATGAGAAAATAAGATGTCGGGTGGCAGCATTTGCGGCTGCGTGCTTCCGGGATCTGGGTTTTATAGTCTCTGGGTCTTGGCTGTTGATGGGATTACACGGCGCCAGGGGGTCAGTTGGTGGGTGTGACCCCTGCCTACTGGAAGATGGAGGATCTGGGTGGAGGATGCTCAGCCCCTATCTGAGCAGGCTTGGAGATCTCAGCCCGGGACCCGCATGCCTTTGTTCCTCTGCCAGTACCTTAATGCGTGTGGAGAGCGGTCTCAGCATGGTGGTGGCTGGTTCTGGAGGTTGTTCGGCTGCCAGAACCCTGGTCAGGATGGGGAGAGAAACTCAACCCGCTCCCCTCCAAGGGGCCCTGGTGAGAACCCCAGCCACCACCAGGCTGAGACCACTCTCCACATGCATAATGGTACTGGCAGAGGAACAAAGGCATGCGGGTCCCGGGGCTGAAATATTCAAGCCTGCTCAGGTTGGGGCTGAGCATCCTCCACCCAGATCCTCCAGATTCCAGTAGACAGGGGTCACACCCACCAGCTGGCCCCCTCGCGCCATGTAATCCCATCAATGGCCAAGACCCAGAGACTATAAATTAATATATGTAAGAATAAAGATGATTCTTAAATCAATTAAAAATATGATTTATTTTCAGTACATGTTTGTCAAATATATGGAATACTTGTATGTATAATTCTGTGATACTAAAAATAAAAGACTGCTTTTGAAAGAAATGATGAAAATGTTGGAAATGTGAGTGAAATTAGTAGGGAAATAGTGGTGGTAGTATTATTTATATTATCAATTTTTCAGGTGTTTTTAGTACTTTACTCTGGATCATAAGCCAAGTCCTCCTAATTCTGATTATCGGTTCTCCTATTAGTGTTTTTGCCAGCTTCTCAATATTTCTTTATTACTTTTGTTGCTGCTGCTGCTGTTGCTGTACAAGAGAAGAAGACATTCTGTAGTGCATTGTTGCGTGGGGGCCAGGACACTACTGGGAGGACCATATGGTGCTGGGGATTGATGCAAGGCATGTGCTCTGTACCATTTGAGACAATATTTATCCATAAACTGATTCTTTAGGTTATTTGGACAGAGTTAGTTTCTGTCATTTGAAGCTAATAAACATAATAGACTAAAAAAAATTCAGTACAAGGAAGGATGGGGGGAACCCTTTTGTAGGTGTGGTATTTTTGCAATCGACCTAAAGAACATATACTTAGATACTAAATTGGGAAAATTGTGTTGAAATAATTTGTGTACAAAAGATTTTTTTCTCTCTCTTTTTAAAAAAGTTGAATCACCCTGTAGTTCATTGTTTTGCACGTACTGTCCAGTTTTTCCACTTATTGAAGAGGCTATTCTTGCTCCACTTCCCATTTCTTGGTCCTTTATCAAAGATTAAGTGGCCATATATTTCAGGGTCTTTGTCAGGATTTTTAATTCTATTCCATTGGTCTGTGGTTCCGTCTTTATTCCAGTACCATGCTGTTCTACTGCTTTGTAGTACAGTTTGAAGTTGGAGAAGTTGATGAATCTCATCTTCTTTTCACCAAGAATTCCTCTAACTATTTGTTGGAGGTTATTGTTTCATATGAATTTCAGGAGTGCTTTATCTATTTCTTTTAAAAATGGTGTGGCTATCCTTATAGGGACTGCATTTAGTCTATATAATGCTTTAGGTTGTATTGCCATCTTGACAATGTTAATTCTCCCAATCCATGAGCAGGGGATGTGTCTCCATTTCCATATGTCCTCTTATTCTTGAAGTTGTGTTTATTTACTTGTTTATTTATTTATTTACAGTTACAAAACTTTCATGTTCCAGACTCAGCTGTACAATGATCAACCACCCATTCCTCCACCAGTGCATACTTTCTACCATCAGTGTCCCAATTATACCCCCCACCCCTCCATCCCAATCCTCAATATGTCTTCATGGCAGGCAATTTCCCCAGTACTCTCTCTCTACTTTTGGGCATTATGTTTTGCTCAAATTTTCCCACCACTATTCAAGCTTGCCTGCCAGGGGAGATGCTATATTATTTATTGTCCATTGCTCATTTTGAAAATCTTGGGTGCCACAGCTGAGATCTTCTGGAATCCTAGATTGTAAATGGTTGGGTTCTGGAGACATTTCTGCAGGACACTAATCCATTTTGTGATTCAATTAGATGTCCCTGGACCAGGTCATTGGTGTGCTAAGATGGCGCCCAGAGGCACATTGTGGGGTTGATAGGCTGATGAGCTGGCTTGTAGCCTGGGAGGGACAGTTCAGTGCCTCTGCCACCATGCGGCATTGAGATTTAATCCTGAAACCCGCATACCTGGGCCTTGCTTGTGGAAGTTCTTGGTCGCTGGGATTCCATCTGGAGTAGGTGGGGAGACTTTGCCTGTTCCATCTGGGGTTTCCTGGTGAAATTGGTATGGGGCCTGGAGAGATCCCTGGCTCTGTGGTGTCTTCTGGGACTCGCTGCTGTATCTCTGGACCAGGGCTGTTGCTGCGCTAAGGTGGGGCCCAGAGGCACATTTTGGGCTGACAGCTAGGTTGATGAGAGGGCAGGGAGCCTGGGAGGGACAACCCAGCACCTCTGTTGCCACACATCATGGAGATTTAGTTTTAGAACCCGCATACCTGGGCCTTGCTTGTGGGAGCTCACGGTTGCTGGGATATCATTTGGAGTAGGTGGGGAGGATGCACCTGCTCCATCTGGGGTGCCCCAATGAAATTTGCTTTGGTATGGGGCCCAGTGATATCTCTGGCTCTGTGGTATCTTCAGGGTTTGCTGCTCTGTCTCTGGCTTTTGATCTCTTTCAAGATTTATGTATGGGTCTCTGACGGCCAGTGTTTCCATGTATATTGGGAAGTGGGGGGAGGTAGCCCACCCCAACTCAGTAAAAGCCTGGGGATTTCAGTAACAAAATCCGCATACCCAAATTTTCAGCAGATTATATCTTGGTAAGGTCCGTCGTGAGATGGTATTAATACAGGAAGACAGTTAATGCTATGCTTTTGTAACTTAGGAAGTTAATTGACTCCAAATAATATTCACTTCTGTCCATCTGTTCTCTCGACTTAAGCCTCTGTTGCGCTTAGTTCCTAGAACCCCCAAAGCAGAGTCCTAACAAGGGACTGCATGGACCCAGGGCAAGCTGTGAGCTACCCTGGCATCAAAATGGACCAGGCCAAAGCGCCATAATACTTAACAATAAGTTAAGAGCATGTTCATGAAAAAATTCTGCCATGATCCAAAAAGTAGCAACTGGATTAGGACCATGCCAGGAGAGCCATCCTATAAGCTTAATGTATCTCTTACTGTGTCCATACAAAATGACTAATATTATTAAGAAGTAAAATTAAGATGAATGCTTAAATGATTGTTGGACTAAGAAAAGGAGAAACGCACCCATAGATGGTATTTCACCCTTAGATGATCTTCTTGCTGAATGAGTTTGTACTAGAAGAAACTTCCTCTGACAGAGGGGCCTTACATCAGTTGATTGTATGACCACACTTAGGTGTAATTGCTACCAGAACTCCTGATTATGGGGTATATAACTAAGGCTGTAAGAGCTGGTGAGGTAGGAGAAGGTAAGGGAGAAGAAGGTTGAGGAGAAGAAGGAAGGAGAAGATTGTAGAGGAGAAGAATGTAGGAGAAGAAGGTAGAGGAGAAGAAGATAGAGAAGAACGTAGGAGCAGGGTCCAGGGAAGAGGAATCAAGGAGAAGCAGGGGATCAGGGAGGATCGAGGGGAATCCAGAGAAAGAAAAGAGATTTATGGAAGGAGAGTCAGAGAACAGAGGTGAGATTGGAATAAACTGCAACTAATTCCAACCAGCCTAGCCCTCGTTTCCTCCTTTGTCCACCCTTTGCATTGGATGTCTCAGGTGGGGAATTGCCTTGAGACCACCAGATGCAGGTGAAGAGAGAGAGCCGTGGGCTTCTTATTAGTTATGTGAATACACAGAATGGGATAAATAAGTACTCCTTATTCTCCAGGTGTCATTATAATTATCTTAAACATTTTAAAAATAAATATACTTAAACCTCTCTACTTAACATTGTTACCTCCCTGTTAGAAAATACATTCCAGAAATAACTGTTAAATCCTGAAGATGCTAATTTTCAAAAAGCTCCTAGAATTCTCCTAGGAGTCTTTATAGATTTGTTTTGAATTGAAGGTTTGATAACCTGTAGTGTTTTCTTTGAAACACATTTGTAACTGTTTTTCCTTTTAGTTTTAATTTTATTGAGGTAATATTGACTTATAAGAGTGTAAATGTTTATATGTTTTATGAGTAAACTGTAATTAAAACAGGGAATGGCCCATGAATTTGCATGACGTCCTTTTATAGGGGCCATTCTAACTTTTCTGTATTGTTCTAATTTTAATATATGTGCTTCCAGAGAAAGCACAGTATATCAGCTTTTAAGAAAACTCTGGGGAGGCTGGAGCAATAGCACAGCGGGTAGGGCATTTGCCTTGTACTCAGCCAACCTGGGTTGGATTCCTCCGCCCCTCTCAGTGAGCCCGGCAAGCTACCAAGAGTATTCCTCCCACACAGCAAAGTCTGGCAAGCTACCTGTGACATATTCGATATGCTAAAAACAGTAACAACAAGTCTCACAATGGAAACGTTAGGGGTGCCCGCTGGAGCAAATCGATGAACAAGGGGAGGATAGTGCTACAGTGCTACTTTCAGAGCAAACACAATGTATCAGCTTTTAAGGAAACTATGGGGGTGGGGGGCTGGAGCAATAGCACAGCGGGTAGGGCATTTGTCTTGCACACGGCTGACCCTGGTTTTGTTCCCAACATCCCACACACATGGTCCCCTGAGCAATTTCCTGAGTGCAGAGCCAGGAGTAAAAAGCAAAAAAAAAAAACAAAAAAAAAAAAACAAAAAAAAAAAACAAACAAAGACAAACTATGGGTTGTGTAAAATAGACTCTGACTTCTGACTACAATATGAGACATGTAAATACTTGATATGAAACAGCAATGTATTGGGTATTTATATTCCTGAAGTCTACAGAAAATCATTCTTTGTGTGCTCATTAAAAAGCGGTTATGTTTCTTTTTCACTAACATATTTGGAAAACATACTGTATGCCTTTGGAGTTGATATACTTAAATATGTAAAGAAAAGAAAACCTGAAGGTAGGTATAGTTTGGGATTTGTTCATCAGCTGCTTTCTAGTAATAATTTAAGTAAATAAAATAAAATAACAAGATTGACTTTTAAGTGAGAGCTTTGTTGTCAACTATAATACCATTACTCTGGGACTCTGTTAAGTTGGTTGATAGATTAAAACTTCAGCTTCATTTATGTGCATGAGAAACCATTTTTAATTACTGTAAATCAGAGAATATCAATTAGAAAACTTGACATAAGGAGAAACCATTTAAAAATACTTTCAACTTTGGGACCATGGTACAGTGATTAAAGCATTTACCTTGTACATGACTGATAATGGTTCAATTCCAGCACCACCTAGGGACCCCTAAGCAGTCAAAAATGAACTCTGAGCAAAGAGCCAGCAGTAAGCCCTATTTTTAGCTGGGTATGGCTCAGTATCCTCCAATTTTTTATTTATTTTATTTATTTTAATTTTTTTATTAAATCACTGTGAGATAGACCCTTGCAAAACTGTTCATGATTAGAATTCAGACATACAGTATTCCAACAGCTATCTGTCCACCAGTGTACATGTCCCAGAACCAGTGTCCCCAGGTTCCTCTCATCACCCCTCACCCCCCCACACACACACCCTGCCTGCCTCTATGGCAGGCACCTTTCTTCTTTATCTCTGTCTCTGTCTCTGTATCTCTCTCTGTCTCTGTCTCTCTGTCTCTGTATGTCTCTCTGTCTCTCTCTGTCTCTGTCTCTCTCTCTCTTTCTCTCTCTCTCTCCTTTTGAATATTGTGGTTTGCAATATTGATACTGAAAGGTTAACAAGAATACCCCTTTACATTCTTTTGACACTCAAATCTTATTCAGAGTGATCATTCCCAGTTATTATTGTCATACAGGTTTCTTCTCTATCTAATTTTTTAAATAAGCCCCAGCTTCTGTTCTATAACGTTGTTCACTTTATTGTCCTTCTAAGAGTTAGATGAGATCATGTAGTTGCACGTACTTTTCCGAGTGCTAGTTGCATAGTTGACTGTTAATAAATGCCAGCCACTGCTTTAGTGAAATTATCCACTTATCCTAAATACATCTTAGTTCCAAAGCAACTGAGAGACTCAGTGATTTTCCATTAATAAAGAGAATATTTAAACAGTTGAAACTCAAGACTACATTTGCTGGTTCACAGTTCACTTATTTTCATTTCAACTTTCTGAACAAGCCTCAGCTTGTAGAACCTAGTAACTGGGAGGTGCAAGATCATTCACTGGCTCTAAAATAACTAGGGGTAGAAGTGGCACGTATACTTAACTTCTCTAATGGAAAGTAAACAAAAGGACCTTTTTAGTTTTTTTGTCTGCAAATCAGAATTCCTTTGTGAAAATTGAATCATTTTATTATTTCTTCAGGGTAAAAGAGATTCCATTACCATTCTCCATCATTCTCTGAGAGTATCTCATCACTTAGAATTATAATGAGGGACTTTTGTTAAAAAACTCTAGCCCCTGGAAGTTGTAGAGAAATAAAACAAGAATAACTTTCATTGGTGCAAATAAAATTTAAAAAATCCAGGTAACAATAACATTTTAATTTCAAAGATGTCTATGAAGTTAGACTAAAAAGTCCTTGTGATTATATTTCTGTGTAAAATGAAATGATCTAGCTCCTCCTATTTGTAGGTTCTGGAAATTATTATATATAGTGTATATGTGGTGTACATGTAGTTTATATAATATTTATATATGCCACTAATGACTGATTTCACCTGACCTTCAGGAAAAATATTGATAAGATCATGGATCACTGTCCTCCTGTTGTTCATCGATTTGCTCGAGTGGGCCCAGTAGTGTCTCCATCATGAGACTTGTTGTTACTGTGCTTGGCATATCAAATACATCACAGGTAGCTTGCGAGGCTCTGCTGCGCGGGCGAGATACTCTGGTAGCTTGCCGGGCTCTCCTAGAGGGGCAGAGGAATCGAACTCGGGTCGGCCATGTTGGCCGCTTGTAAGGCAAACTCCTTACCGCTGTGCTATCGCTCCAGCAGGCATTGATAAGAAAAATTTCAAAATAATGGAAGAGAAATTAGAATTTTTAACATTTAAATACATTTAATTAGGTAGTTTTGAATAGATTGATAATATAATTTCTTTATAGATATGGCATGAGGATAAGTGACTTCACAAAACTGCAGAACCCAAATCTATTTTACTAAAATGAACAAATGCTAACTCTTACACTCACAGTTTTGTAATTCTAAAGTTCAATCACCAGCTAATTCATTTCAATATGCAAGCTTAAATCTATTAATACAGAAGATGCAATAAAATAATAAGTCCACTGCTTATATAATAGTTAAGGAATTTCAGAGTTTTATAAATAGTAAAGTAAAATTAACCGATTACTATTATATTAGCGTTGTGTGCTAATTATATGCACTTTACTGTGGTTACCCATGTTTACAAGCTTTGCATATTTTACCATGGATTGTTGAAAACTTGCCTAGTGTTTTCTGAATTGGCATTATGAAAAAAAAGCTGCCAGAGGAGAGAGGAAGGATAGGACAGGGAGGGGCCACTACAACAATGATCAAGGGAAATCACTATTCTGGACAAGAACTGGGTGCTGAAAGGAAGTAAAGTGATATGCATGATACCCTCTCAGTAAAAGTATTGAAAACCACTGTGCCTAAAAGGAAAGAAAGAAAAAGAAAAAAAAATCCAGCAGTAGAGAAACACCGGGGGTGGGAGGGAAAGTGGGGACATTGGCGGAGAGAAGTGGACTCTGATGAAGCATTGTACTCCTGAAACCCAATCATGAGTGACTTTGAAATTCACAGTGATTCAAGAAATTCTTTTAAAAGAGAACAAGGAAAAACTGGCATTTCCACAACCATACGTTAGCCTTTGGCCCCGCGATTTCCTATTATCTTTGAATATTAGCCCTGCTGAGTGTACATTTTTCTAGCAACTGTCAGACTCTGAGGACGGGTCCTTTTGGATGTCAGCTGAAATTTCCTGGGCCACTACCCCCCGCTTGAACATCATTACTCAGTAGTTTCATTTTATTTATTTGTTTATTTATCTATTTATTTATTTGTAGTTTCATTTTAAAGAAACATTGTTGCATAATATTCTGATATACTTTCCTTGAGTCTTCATTTGTCAGTTCTGTTTACTTCTTTTTTTACCCACTGAAAAAGCATTTCAGAGCTTTTCAGTGACCACATATTTTTTAAGATCAACATCTGGCCACATAGATGCCCTTTTTAATGGGTTAGTGTTTCATATATTGAACCCTACTTCACAGTTTAATTAATCTATATGGTGAGAAACATTTCGAACAAATCAAGGTTCCTTTTATTTAGATAGGAAAGTTCTGAGAAAGACCATCCCCTCTCCTGGGAGAGACATTGACAAGGAACTATACTCCATGTTCAGAAAACATTTACAAATTAATCAGTTTACTTAACACTTTGAGTTATTTACTGAGGTGATTGTTGAACTAGTTATGCTTCCCTGTATTTATTTTCCCTCTGGAACTCTATACACCCTCTGGTAACTGTGCATACTTTTTTTTTTAAGCTCATAATATCTTGTTCTGAAGGCTGGGTCCATTTGAATATGTACTTAAAAAATCCCATTGTCACCTCACATTTTCTGTTTGCAATAATTTTTTCACATAAGGTTTTGTAATTAGACTAATTAGACTATAGACAGTGAGACACAGTGACTCTTTGGTTGAATGGGAATGCAAGAATGAGCTCTTCCTTTGTACACTGCATATGAATGAAGAAATATGTAACTTTGATACCCAAGACATGTGTTCTAACTTTTGAACTATGTCTTTGGCTCCCCAGTTAAATCCCTAAAATCTTGGTTATTACAGTGTTAAAAATGAATAAAACTATTGATTTAACTATAACAATTTAAAATGTAACTATTTTGTGTCTCAATATATTATGTTATCTTGTTTATTAAATCTGGCTTAACTTTTGAGTTGTGTGAGAACACTGCAGTATACATTGTTCGGGAAAATTGTTAGGGAAATAGGAATATGACAGTTATCCAAGTATCTGTTATTAGTCACATACAATCTAAAATAGAGTCTACAAATCCTCCTTCTACCCATGTATTTATATTTCTAGTTACTTAAGATTTTTTAATTCTTTTTTTTTTTGGCCTTTACCTTTACCTTTATTTATTTTATTTTTTTATAATTTATTTCTTTATTGAATCACTGTGGGAAAAGTTACAGAGCTTTCGGTTTTAAGTCTCAGTCATGT